GGAAAAGAAAAGTTAAGAGTTTGAATATAAATGCTTTATAGGGTTTGGGGGGCCTCGGTGGAGAGGGCATTGGCTTGCCTTTCTAGGCGTGGCTGTTTTTGTTGGACAATCCACCTTCCCTTCCATTCTGCCTCCATCGTCTCCCCCACCACCTTCTCTCTACTCCACACATGCATTAGGTGTTTCCCTATCTACAAAGCTAGCTACCACGCAATAATTCACCATTAATTAATTAATGTTATGGCGATCCACCAGGTGATGGTCGTAGTATCATCTAGAGTGAGACGACGGCGTATCGTGGATCATTAGCGAGCGTTAACAGCTAGAAATAAACCGTGTTAATTGATTTGATGGTTAGGCAGGCGAGCAATGAATACATAGTCGGAATAACATGAACTAATTCCGTGGGAGGTTAGGTTAGAAAGAAGATTGAGGTGGCTTAATCAGCTTTAATGTCGCATGCATGGCCCCGCACCCATATGTCTTTTTCCTCTCTCGGTGGGTGCCATCATCATGCCCAGCCTTTGCATCATCATCATCATATATATACACAAACATATGCACATCCTGCCACGAATCATGGAAACCAAGGCCCCTATTTAACTCTCTCTCTTCATTTTCCATTTATCCTTCCTCCCCACGTCTCCTTCAATTTTTCCTCCTTAATTCCATGCGCCCCTACTTCCTTTCCTTTTTTCCACAAACTCCACCAATGATACCCCACTAATTCCTTTCAGAATATTGTTAAACACGACTCTCCATTTGTAACTAAACGGATCAGATCCTTTCTATATTTTTCCTCAATACACCCTCCATACTCAATCATGTCCATACATTTAATTATTCATTTATTTAATGGTGTCAGGTTGCTAATTGTGATATTAAAATAAATAAATTATTCGTTACCGTCACTTAAATGTTCTTAAAATATGTTTATAATGCTAATTTGTGGAAATAATCAAATGAATGGTATATTTATTTTAATATCATAATCAGCAATACAATACCATTAAATTAAATGAATAATTAAATGGATGGATATGATTGGATATGGAGAGATGGTATGTAAAGGATTAAGATCCATAACTAAACTAAATATTCTAATTTGTTTTTTTTTTTCATACATGGGAAGACTTGAGTCCAATTAATCCCTCTCCTTTTTCCCTTATTTTTTCATGGTATGTAGCTTATACCTTTTACACCTCCCCCAACCAAAAAAAAAAAAAGTGCAGATATAAGTATCACAAGTTAGGACTTTTTGGTTGGAAATTAAATGCTATATACACGTATAGTGGATATATTGTCATGAATTTCATCTTAAGACCTCACAAATAGAGTAAAGTTTATAAATATAAAAGTTTTGGTAATAAGCTTTTTTTTTTTTTGGCCAAGCTCTTTCTTTAGGTTCGTATTCATGACATTTACAAGATATGCTTTCAAGGGCCTTTTAGTCATTTGATTATGACTTGGTTTTAGTGTAGCCTAATTAATCTGAAAAACAACAGGAATAAGGAGCAGGGCCAAAAAAAATTGAGATGATCACCCCTTAAAAAAAAAAAACACAATTTTTCATCCTTATAGTTTTATTAGATTTTGTTCTTAATCTCTGTAATTTTTTTTTAATATTTTTAGTTCCTATAATTTTAAAGAGATTAGATGGCTTTGTTTTTAAGGTCTCTATAATTTTCATTGTTTAAATGATTTCAGTCCTTATAGGAGCTGAAAACATTATAAAAAATTAGAAAGACTACAAGTAAAATTTAATAAAATTAAAAGAATCAAAAATTATGTTTTCTCAAAAAAAAAAAAACCATAGAAAATATTTTAAGAGTATGACGGAGCATTCCAAATTAATCCACGGACGACCAATCCGACTTGATTGTCCCTCTTTGCCTACGCCAAAAACTTTTTGGCGTTCCCAGCATTCGATTAAAATCACTGAATCTTTATCTGACGAAGGGGTGTATTGTCAATGGAAGCACCTGAATACTTTCAGATGCGGTTCATAATCAATCATGTTCTGCAACACCAGATCCAGAAAATGGAGAAAAACGAATGGGGAAAAGAATAGAGTAGCCAGGAAAATTTGACTTGTTTAATTCAACTCCTCCTGCTCATCTCTCTCTCTCTCTCTCTCGCGTTTGGAGAATAGTATTTTTGTCGTCATCTGCATTTGTATAATAACATTTTGAACTAATTTGCCGTATTGGTAATGTTCATGGAGGCACTTAATCACATGATCGCTTGGTATGCATTTGTGAAACCATGCTGTCATCACTAAGAACAATTGAAGAAACTGTAAATAAACAGAGGAAGAGAGAGATAGAGATTGTGTGTTTACATGACAGGTTCATTTCCAATCAAAACAAAAAATAAATATATATATAAAAGACGAATCTCTTTACCGAATATACTTGCATGCTTATTTGCAAATAATTTGATTTATTGACTTTGAACGGATCCGATTTTTTTACAATTTTGAATGACAAGGAATACTACATAATAGTGGTGGTGCCTTGCAGACAATGATCACTCTTTGTTTTTCTTCCTCTTGGTGGGCAGTCACCACAGAAGCTTGAGCTACACCTTAGCTTGGGGATTTGATATTAATAGTTAGGTGGTCTACAACCACTAAGCTCAGGTCAGTGCAATATTTTAAAGCGAATTTGGTGAGTAAAGTGACCATGATGATAAAATAACGCAGAGACGTGCGATGGAATTGCTTTTTTAATGGGCTAACTTATCTATATATGGATTTTAAAAATGAATAAAGGAATCGTGGCTTTACATCTCAACAGGTGTGTGGTGTAGTTGTTTTAATTAGTGCCACCAAAAGGCTAGACCCAATGGGATTGGGAAGTGATTTAAATGGGGTTTGTTTATTGTTCCCTCCACTCCAAACAAGAAGGCATGAAAGTGTGCATACTATTTTTTCGAATTTAATATGCTTTTAGTGTCTATATATAACTGGGTGCCTGTGGATCTCCTTATCTTGCCGTAAGATCTTCTTCAGGTGATAAAATCATGGGTCTCACACCCCCTTTTGTATTTTCTTATTGGGCTACTGCCATAACTTGTCTGTTCACTGTACCTACGTGCTTTCTCTTTTCATCACCCCTTTCATTGAATTCTTCAATTATTTATTCAACCACTTTACTCACCTGAGCTTCTATCATCGGCTGGTTTATCTGGTTCCACGTTGAATCTCTGTATTGCGATTGAAACAAACAATCAACTTGTAATAATTTGGAGGGAACCCAAGAGAAGGGGAAAAAAAAAAAAAAAACTAGCCAGTTCATGATGATGCGGTATGGATATGACAGATTAAAATTTACTTATTTTTGTCACGTATAGTTGTCGGGGTTTTCACTATTTTGTATATGTAGTACTTGGACTCTGCTCAGCTTCATGACGTCCACATTTTAACTAGCAGTGGTAAAGAAGAAAATGAAACGAAAGAAAGATTCTGAATGGAAGAAAAATTAAATAAAGTCTTGGCTTAGCTTTCATCGGACGATAGAGACCAATACAAAAAGGACGGCAAGGTTGGCTGTAAAAAGTTGGAGTCACTAGTGTACAAACAGAAAGAAAAGAAAAGAAAAGAAAAGTTTTTGGGTCTGTTCTAGTGTAGTGCAAGAACAAAATCGAATCGCAAAGCATCTACCAATCAGTGTACAAAGTGTTGCTGGAACCAGCGTGTGGACATTTGATGGTGTGACTGTCCGTGCATGCTGGCTGCAACGAACAAATTTTAACTTAGCTTGGTAACAAAGTTACCCCTAAGTGAATGCGAAGGTTAACATATATACTCAATACTATCGAGGTCATAAAGAGCCGCTTAAGGACAGCTTTGAACAATTTTCTAAAGTTGGAATCTGTGATAAGCGGCCTTTTGCAGTAATTGATTTAAAAGTTCAAGGGACCAGTGCTTTTATGCATGTTGCAGAGACGGATATGCATACACATATAAGATGGTCAATTATGAAACAAATTTGACGGGGATGAATGAAGTAAGGTGCCAAGCATTGATGACAATTTTGATGGGGAAGACACAAGCACATATACATATATATCACATCAATGAAAAGTTATAAATAGTGTACTGCCGTGGCGGGGCCAAAGGTATAGCTTTTTACCCCCTCCAAAAACCTTAAAGTGAGAAGCTCATTGATGGGGTTAATAAGGAGAAAGAGTAGTAGTGTCAGGAGGCGGATGAGCGAGTTTCAGACAGATGATATGGCATATAGGCCACAGCATTTGCTAATGAGTGGGTCCCCTGCATCTAAAATCTGTATAATTCATGCTTTGAACGGTCAAGCTACACATTATTGTTCTTCATGTTAAAAACATCGGATACCACCCCACTTTAGGCCTTTACCCTCCCCTTGTAATCCTCCTCCTCCTCCTCCTCCTCCTGCTTTTCATTTGCTTCTCATTCTTACGTCTCTCTTGGTTCCTGGTCACCCCTTTTGTTTCTGTTGAGATGACAAAAATGCATCCAGATCAGATTCCTTCTTCCATCATTTATTATGCTATAATATATAATTACTATATGATTTTTTAAATGACAAACCAGCACTACCGAAAAGTATATATGACTTGTTTATTGCATACCACACCATAATTCAGTTGAATGGATTTGGAAGCAAAACAATAAACGGAGGAGTCACCAAACAGTACCAGTATGGTTCATATTAAATTACAAGTGTCATTAGGTTGAGTCGTCAGGGTATATTGGTAAATTTAAAGACGCGGAAGCACATGATGATGGGATTTCCCGGTTGGGCTGGGAGGGTGGTAGATTCGTCCAGGGAAACGGGGACAAGGCCAGCCAGACTAACCAGACCGGGTAGTTAGGTTTTAGCCCGAGGGCGTGGTCCGCACCACCTTGGGTTAATTGATCCCTGAAAATGAAAATAATATAAGACTCACAAGGCCGTGACACAACCACTCACAATGACGCGGAGATAGAGGGCCGAGGGAGGGAGCCGAGGCAGCGCTTCTGTGTGCGCTTCATCATTGCACACTTATATGCCATTGTGTGCACTCCTCTGCCCTCACGCACGCACGCACGAATCAAACTCGTTCGTAATATTTTCCTGTAATAATAGTAAATTATTATTAATTATGATTTGATCCACTTCAATCCGAGGGCATATATGTCATTGAATTCTCTATATAATTCAACTCTCGTGCTCCGTTCCGGTTAGTCTCCACTTTGACTGTAGCCATTCACGCCTCCTCTCTTCCCTTCCCTTTTCGGTTTTCAGCCTCACGCTGTTGTTGTCCTCTCTCCCTGTCCCCCCCCTCCTCCAGATTTGTCTTCTCAGATTTTGCTGCGATTTCAACCTCGACTCTAATCTGTAAGTTCTTCAATTCTTCCTGGCTTCGTTTGATGGTGGCTTATATGTCAACTCTGTGATTCCCTCATTTCTGGGTATTAACCAAGGATCGTACACTCGGCATCTATTTAATCCCTGAAGTGATTGCTATTCTTCTTGCCGAATAAGCTGAATTGCTTCATGAGAATAGCTCCAGAGAAGATTTTTTCCAGTCATTCCTTAATCTAGTCGTAGCTGAGTTTTCCTCCCGGCTTACCCGCACAAAATATTGTTTTGATTTCGAGGAACATTGCACTATTTCTCTCGGTCTTTTTTTGGTTTTTATTAGTATTACATGGCAAAGAATTGAGTTGAATCATTTTAAAAATTTAGTTAGGTTTCTTTTTTGACTCGGTTGCAAATTTTGTTGGATGCAAATCGCATGCTTGCTTGAATATGTATGGACTGTGAAACCATTGCTGATGTTAGAACTCTGTTTCAGGTTACTAAGTAGGCTTCGGTAAAGCTGAATATCTTTGAGGATAAGGATACAACAGCATGCGGTGGTGGTTTAGTCTGTCTGTTGATGTATGCCGCAGAGCTATTTCCTTGAACCTGTATTGCAAAGTGATTCTGTAATTTGCATCGTGCGATTAAAAAAAAAAAAAAACACTCTCCGATTTCTTCCGCCCTTTGCAACTCGCCCTGGTTTTCCATGGGATCCAATTTTTTTGTTGTTGTTCCTTGCTACGTCCGTCAGATCAGCTGAAGGATAGCATCCCCATCTCGCAAATTCTTATGTTCAGCTAGGTCTCCGTTTATTTGTAGTTCGCACCTACCTGTTGCTTCCATTTGTGTCATTAGCCGTTACGTTTTCTCTTGGACTATACCAGTTTCTTCGTTACCTGTATTTGGATATTCTCCAATTCTTCAATCACCGGTTCCCTAGTGTGGTAGTGTTAGGACCCAAGAAGATTGCCCTTCTATCGTTTTCAAGGGTTGGAAAGTAGTTATGGTGTGCCAAGCAGCAAGTCAAACGAGATTTCGGGCATTGAAATATGAAAATGGAACTGCTGGGAGCTCCACCATTATAGTTAGAGTTATAGCGTGCTTTCAACCTCTCCGAGACTGCCAGGTATGTTGCAAGTGACTGAAAAGATTGAGGAAATGTTTAAAAATGTTGTCTTCCTTGGTTTTATTATTTCGGTTTTTAGTAAGATGTTGTAGGAAAATATCAGCACCTATTGACTTTTACGTATCGTTGTTTTCCAGGCTGAATACTTCCGTCATTTGCTCAAACCTGTCACGTAGAATAGTTTTGCCTTTCTCTGTTCGGGTTAAGCTGGTGCTAGTTGTTTTCCTTTACTTGTTCCTGAAAGAAACAGATAGTTATAGATAGCTCGTGTGCTGAAATCGTTTTAATTCAGGTATATTCTGCATTATTATTCATTCAGAGGGATTTGCGTTTAACTATTTTGTTTTGAGTTAGTTGTTAATCTTGATTTTTTTTCCCACCTTGGTGAAATCCATAGGGGATTGTTCTGGTTGAATGGGAAAAGATTGTGGAATCTGGATACCGCAGCTGCATTTTGATTGGCAATCACCCAATTTGAGTTCCTTCTCTTCCCTTGACGTGGGGAAGCAAAATGGTTGCATAAATATGATGCCTGAAAATTATACGATGCCAGATTCTGTGCCCTCCATGCTACCATGTTCGCAGTTAGCGCAGTCCTTTGAACCTTATGGTTGGTCCTATGGTTCACCTCACTTTCAACAGGCATTTATCCCTGCTCCAAACTTCACTTTGGAGAGCAAGCTCCCTGCTAGCCATGAAAAAGGTATTGGGGAGGAAATTGCACCCGACAGGATACCGGGCTTCCCTAAGAAGCGGTTCATTGTTATTGACCAGACTGTCAATCAGACAGCATTCATATATAGTCCTGGGTTTGGAAGTCCCATTGAGTGCCTTGCTTCTTGGCATTCAAAGCTGCGTGGTCCTGACTATTTGAATGGGAATGAACGTTCTTTGAAAAGAGATTTGAATAATCTGAATGGACCAACTTTGAATGATAAACTTGATAAAAATCAGGGAATTGAGGTCCAAAGTGAGATGCATGAAGACACAGAAGAAATCAATGCGTTACTTTACTCTGATAGTGATGGTTACTCCACTGAGGATGATGAAGTTACTAGCACTGGGCACTCGCCCAGTATAATGACCACTCATGATGACCAAGACTTCTTTTGCGGAAGCAATGAAGAAGTTGGTAGCTGCGATGGTGGAGAAGTTGGTAGCGCTGCTGGGAAAACAACAAAGAAGCGGAAGCTGTCTGCCAATGGGGCTTGTGAGCACGATGATGACCTACAGCTCATGGACAGTGCCAGTTCTCTAAATCTAAATAGATCCTTTGACAACGAATATGATGCTGAATCAAGATGTTCTAGTGGCAACAGTGAAGGATCAAGCAAGAAGAAGATGAGAAAAGAGAGGATACGGGATGTTCTAAACATCCTGCAAACCATAATTCCTGGTGGAAAAGAAAGGGACCCGATTGGGCTTCTTGATGAAGCAATTTGTTGCCTGAAATCACTGAAACTCAAGGCTAGAGCTCTAGGACTCCATGACTAGTAAGTTGGAAGGATTTTTAGCCACTTGTGCTGTTTCTGAAGTGGCATTATAGCATGAGATGATCTGTTATGGTCTAGTGTGTGTTGTTGAGTCTGCAGAATAAACAAGGTCAAAGTGCGATATGGGAGGGAATGAGGGTGTGAACTCCAATGATTGAGTTGGAAATCAGTTGGTTTGGGCGGTGTAACTTACGTATTGTGTAAAGGAACGGCGAGGTGCTCAGCATATTATGGCGCAATAAAGGAAATGCGAATCATTAGTCCATGTCCTACGGTTTAGAGAAAGTTGTGGCACTTACACAAGGGGCCTGGGATGTGAGCTGTTTTGAACGAGAAGACCGATTATTTTCAGAAAAAGACCCCGAAAATGAGAGTGCACGCCTCTCGGCTGATATCGGACCCAGTCTTAGCCCCCTCTTTTTGTATTCTTGTCATTGTTTAATCCTTTGTGGGTTTAACTTTTCTCTGATGTACTAATTCTCACTAGGTAAGCCCCTCACCTCTTTTATGAGGCAACTGGAGGAGGGCCCCCTCGTCCACGAAATTTCCACTTTAATAGTCTGTGACTCGTTGGCGGGTGACACTGATATTTGTATTCGCTCGTGTTTGATGCTGTGCTGAATTTGTGTGTTGTAAGGGGTATATGGTAGTAAAACTTAGAGTGGACTGATCATCTTGGTTGGATGTAATTCGTTTTATGGTTGGTGCTACTGTTGTTTTTTTTGCCTGTGTAGTTACGTCGCATGCACACATTTATGATAGGAGAAAGCGACGTGCTTTTTTATTTTCCATTTTACTTTATATGCAACAAAATTTAGGCGGATGATTCGTACATGAATGAAAAGTTCTCTCTTTCTCGTCCAAGGGAGATGGGTGTGGGGGACCACAAAAATTATGAGGGTGTTATGTGTGCAATAGAGAGGCAGGGGCCTGGATGTCTCGATGAGGAGGCATCAAGCAGCGTAGAGAATCTTGTACAGTGTTTGTATCTTTGAGCTTCCTTCCACTGTGCAATTGCAACTCGACTACCATCGTCTCTTTTTTCAGTGGATGCCAGGTAGGCTGGCCTCTGGCCTACCCATTTTCTTTTAACTTGTTTACTCTCCAGAGTCAAATGCTCTGCCACTCCGCGCACGCGCGCGCACATGAAATCTTATGGCTTCTGGTCTCCGGGGTTCCATTAACATGTCTAACTGGAGTGTGTAGGTACATGCATGCTTTTGAGCTTCTTTGCATTTTGGTGGATGGAGGAGCGAATCAGTTGGACTCAGTATTTATAACCATTTCATCTCTCGCGAGACAATGTGCTTGGGATGGTGCGTAGGATTCTCTAATTTTGTTTTGGGAGAATGACAATTATGTCTTAAAATACTGAATCAATATAAGTTAAGTTCCTAACAAATTCTTTTAAAAAGTAAGTTGAAAGTATTGATATAAACTATTACAAATTTAAGAGTTAAATTACAAATAATTATTTAAATATCAAATGTAACTTTTAAATTGTAGAAGAAATTTTTATTTGTAACTAATTGAATCGATATTTATGATTTATTTTGTAAGAATTTTTATTAAGGATTTAATTATCATTAATTCATTCTTTTGTGATCTAAATGTTACTCTCCCTTCTATTTTAGCCCACCCCATGTTGCCTGATTTTATGTGAAGCACTGATATTTTAAATTGACTCGTGTGTTCATGTTAGTATCGTATTTGATATTGATACCAATATTACTTCAATGTGTATTTGTAAAATACTGAATGTTATTTTTAATTTAAAAAATTTTAATTTTCAATACGTATCCAATACTTTTAGATTGTGAGTTAATACTTCAAGCAAATTTTTAAGAAATTAAATTTTTTTAAAGATTATGATATTAAAATTTTTATTAACAATTTCTTTTTCAGAATATTAGTGAAGATGAATGGGATGACTTTGATTGTGTTAGAGTTTTGGGAGTGATAAATTTATCTTTTGATGAATTAGATATAGAAGATATCTTTTTTTGCAGATGATGGTTGAAGAAGAACATGGAGAGAATTGATATTATTATAAAAGATTATATATGTTTGTTAGTTTGAATATTTTTCGAATTGAAATTATATTTTTATGATTTTTATTAATATATATACACATAAAAAACATATCATATTCTATATTTTTAAAAATAACAAGTATCAACATATATAAATATCGTATCTAATACGCATATTAGTATCTGACTATCTATGCATCATAGTTGATTCACATCCTCCTCTTTAGTCCCTTCTGCCCCCTTCATTTCGTTTTCCCTCAATAATCCTCAAATTAGGTCTTCACGCTATATTAATAGCAAAACAATCAAGGTCTAAGATTCACACACACACACATATTTTAATTAAAGAGACTTAACACGATTTTTCACGATTTTTCACTTGCAATGAAGCTTGTGTGCCAACATAGATGATAAAAAAAAAGGAAGAAGAACCAATAAGTTTTATATAGATGGAAAGCTATTTTGTTAAGCCTGGAAGCTACTTTAATACATGCTAATCAAGATTTGTAGAATCACGTCATATAACATCAATTTTCTATCCGTGAATATTTCTTGCCGTGCATCGACTTGCAAGGAATCTCTATCATCCATTCTTTAATATTCTCAGCGTCGAGACCCACAAAGATTCTCGTTCGTCCATTGCTTAATCCGAAGAATTAGAAGAGGAAGGAGAGGGAAAATGAAAAAGAGGGAGGAGAGATACCTCGCTGCATCAATCTTTCTCCTGCAAGGCGCTTTATCAATTTCTCCTTTAATATGTGTTAATCTTCCTTCTACACAATTTCTGATTTCTCCACCATCGCAAGACGGTTTTCTCTTCGTCTCCTTTTTCAAAATCCAGCCCAGAAAACGGCAATAGACTGAAGGGGGTTACAGGGCCGGGTCAGGGTTTAATTTTGGGTTGATGATGTGGCTTTTAACTCCACCAAGTGATGACGTGGTTTCAAGTTAGATCAGAGTTGCATGAGTTAGAGACGAGTTTGAGGGTTTGTAAGCTAAAGGCATTGGGTTATGGGTTTTCAAATTACAAGTATTAATTGATATCTTGATCAAACTAGAGGCATGAAATAATTAATTTTCCCAATAATCACAATATATAAAAGACATGAGAGAATATAACCCAACTATCATTCAATCGTTTTTTCTTTTATTGAAATAAAGAAAGAAGAAAGACATATAAATCTATTTGAAATAGAAAAATGATAATTTGATCTCGTGAAATTTAATAATCACAATGAGGTTTTAAAAGATTTTTTCAAGATCAAATTTCTATATGAAATTACTTCAACACCTATTTGTGATTTAAAAAGTTATAATTTTATAAATCATTTTAATTATTGGTTAAACCAAATTTGTAAATACTCATATCAAATTTAAAAATAATATAAAATTAGTTAGACTTTATTGATAGAAAATTATAATTTTTTAAATTATTTTAATCATTTGTGAAATTAAATTTGCAAATATTATATCAAACTCATGTATAAAATTAGTCAGATTTTGCTAATTGAAGAAAATTAGTAATAGAAATTTGTTATTTTTTAAATTATTTTAGTTATTTGTGTAAACAAACTTGCAAATATTTATATCAAATTTTTGAACCATGAAAAATTAACTGTCAAGGATAACTAAGTAATTTTAAATACAAATTTAATTTCAAAGAAGTTCATTTAGACCTCATTATAATTATTATATTTTGCAAGATCAAATTATCATTATCTTATTTTAGAAGAATTTATTTGTCATTATCTAGATTAAAGTCAATAAGAAGAATCGAACCTTGTGAGCATCCCATTTAAGCCAATTTTTACTAGAGTTCAAGTATGAAAAATGATATTTTTTAGAAAAGTTGGGCTTTAAAACCTTAGAATGCTAAGCCTTGGAAAAACAAATTCCAACTTAAGCTGTTCTTTTAGGCTCATTTTATTTTTATCCTTAAAAAATATTTTTTAATTTTTAAATTGAATTTAAATATTATAATACATTTCTATATTTTAATATACGAATTTCTACTATTTATTTATAATTTTTGGATATCATAGCTTGTATTTTAGAAAAATATAAAGTATGATAATTTAAAATTTTAATTTTTAAAAAATTCAAAAAAAGATTTACGAGCCCGACCCTAAACTTTTGAAACAAAAACTAAACTTTAGAAAATGATAAATTTTTGAGTAAATGGGTTGAAGCACTCGAGCTTCTCATCTCCCTTCTTGTTATATTTTCTTTGTAACTTGAAGTTCACTTTATATTTTAGATATTTAAAATTTTAATTATTTTAAATATTTCATTTCTTTTGTATTTTTACTATTGATGCTTTTATCACTCTTATCTTTTCTTATTTCTTATTTTTTTCTTTTATTTATTGAAAAATAGAGTTGAACTTACAACTTCTAATTTTTTTATTTTTATTTTGACTCAACTCATCTCTCTTTTTTTTAAAAAATTTTTTTAAACTATGCAAATAAATAATTTTAAATATATAAATTTTAAATATAAAATTTGAATTTAAATTCACCAATCCAAATGTTATCCAATGCATTTCTAAATATTTACACCTACTCGAGCCTTTTTAGAGGTGAAAATTCACCCATGACAAGAGTCAATACTATCATATAATTGAGATCTATATTATTAAAAAGAAGATCCAATTAACATATACTACAATCAAATTAAATTTTGAGGAGAAAATCATTTTCCCTGTTTCTATTTACTAGATAAATGATAAAGTGGGCTTCCATCCTCTCCTCTAATAGAAGCCTTTTTAGAGGTGTATAATGTGATCAGTTCAAATTTAATGTTTTTTTTATTTTACATTTTTTAAAATAAAAAATTATTTAAATTGTAAAAATTTTATTAAATTTATTTACTAATCTAGATAGCCCAAAATTAATATAAATGATATATATTTAATATTGACATTTTTATAAATTAATTATCTAAACATATTTTATGATAGTACATGTTTAATATTAAATGTAAAGTATTCATATTAAATTTGAACTGTTCCAATTAGTAAACAGGTTTATTAATTTTTTTACCATTTATATAGTTTTTATTTAAAAAATGTAACATAAAAAATATTAAATTTATATGATATAACTTCTCGGCCCATGCATAGAGAAGGAAGCCAACTCTATATATGATTGTATTTAATGACTTCTCTTTAATTTGGTTAAGGTGCAAAATCTCCATTTACTAACTAAAATCAACTCCAAAATTTAAAGTAATCAAGAGGTTAATCCATGAAGAGATTACTGAGTTTGTAATTTAAAATAAAAAAATTCTAATTTTTTATAATTTAAAATAAGTCAAAATCATTTATTAAACATTTAATCAGATTCAAATAATGTTTTAGAAGTATGATATCTTAAAAGTGTGAAAGAACACAAAACAAGTTGAAAAATCTTTGAAGCTGAACAACAAAGCAGCGCATTGTGGCTCGTGCACAATACACCACGGCTTGCCACTCCCTATGCCACTCATCTCAGTGTGTTGCACGCTTATGACGATAATTTTTTCTGTCATTTGACAGCAAATTCGGGCAACTTTTAGTGTGCTCCATTTCTTCATTCAATGGACAAATGAGTTAATCTGAATGTCTATAAAAAACTTATATCATAAACTAACTAATGACATGGGTTTTATTTTAAAATCAAGTCATATCAAGAAGTTGAATACACAAATACATTTTCACAACTTTCACAATAAAAGGGTATCAAAAAAACCTATACAAGTGTCAAAAGACATTCCTAACGCCTAGATCGTATTCATTGGATCTAGAACTAACAATACAATACATCATATGCATATATACATCACTATAACACA